ATATATATATATATATATATATATATATATACACGTGTGCATATACATACACACACAAATGGGGGGATACGCACCAAACAAGTTTATGAAATCTGGTTGAAAACTGTATTTTATACTTTTCAATGTGCCTGTGTTATTTATATGACAAAATAACAAAAATACAGTGAGAGATATGAAAATGAAAAGACCAGTAGACCTTTAATACTTTACATACATAGTTCTACTTCATTGACTGTGTAATCTGGCCACATTGTTAAACAGTAAAAATGTCTGTAGTTGTGTTCTGCTTGTTGACTGCCTATTCCAAGTTTTGTAACAAAGTTGAAGAACTGATATTTCCTGAATAACATTAAAAAAAATTCCTTAGCTTAAGTCATCTCATCAATAATACTGCACATTGCAGCATCCTTATCCCACACTTTGTCCTTACTGGGCATGTTCTTGTCAGTTTGTGCAACCATGCAGCTAACACCAGTCTCATCTACATCCCTAGGCTCGGTTTTCAGTCTGAAGTCTCCAGCTGACGCCACGCCACCAGCCTCTCCCACGCTGGAGCTGTTGGGTTGTGGCAAATCATCAGGCAGTGAGGCAAGACACCCCTGGATCATCTCCACCACCCGCTCCAGGTGCTTCTGGAAACGCTCAGCCGTCTCCAGCCTCTGTCTCTTCTGAACCTCCATCATGACCCGTAGCGTCTCTCTGGCCTGGTGGGGACGGTACTCGTTGATGAGGTGATGTATGTGGACAAAAATGAGTTTCAAGTCCTCCAGCTTCTCCTCTCGCTTAATGCTGCCTGGGCTTTTGATGAGGATATCCAGAAGGTCCAGAAAGTTGACCAAGATGGACATATTTAGTTTCTTCAGCTCTCTTTTGTGGTCAAACTGCATAGGATGAAGGCGCTCAATGCCTTGGTTCTCCAGTGGTCTAATAATGAGGTCATCGCATTGGAACTGATTGCCAAACATCATGTAACTGTCTCGAATAAGAGGAGGGGGTTTGGGGGCCAGTCCCTTTCGCACATTTTCATCCGTGTACTCCTTGATGTATTGCATTGGAGGCGGTGGAAGAGCACTGACCTGCTGTGGCTCCCCCATCTTGGAAATCTAGTCAAGAAAAGCGACAAAATAATCAAATCTATTTGTTAAATTAACCAGTAACATTATTCAATAATGCTATTATTTGTTAATAAATAATAGCATTTCTTGGGGATACATTCTACAAAATAATAATAATAATCATGATAAACAAAATTCGCTTTGAAAAAATACTTTCGCTTTCCTAGAATATACTTCCGTAAAACAAACATATTGGAGGGCTTTGGAAATGCAGTAAAAGAAAACACGACTTAGTTGATCAACAATACTGGTTTAGAAAGAGCTAACAATTTACATGCTAAATGCTACGGCTCACCGAATAATGATTCAGACTGGCAAAGCGCTTGACTTTATGGGACTCATCACTGTAATATTTAACTAAATACTTACCGAGACTGCTGGCTTTACTGAAAAAAAGTACTGTCAGCTACGTAAACAGATTTTCAGTAAACATAAGCAAAGCGACCTGTCCTTTTGCATGTCTCGATTGGCGATTTCTTCAGGTCTAAAGATGAATGGATTGCATTGGTGCACAGTCCCTTAGCAACGAGGTATTTCATTGGCCAAAAACAGATTAGGGCGGGTCCTAAGCAAGCGTATTCAATGACGTCGTAGTCTGATCTAGCCTTTAAAAAAAAAGGAAAAGAAAATGAACAAAATTCCACAAAATCTAAGAAATATTTATATTTTTAATTTACTTATTTAAAAAAACATAGTGTCTTGGCATTAATGAGAGAAAAATGACATTGTATGATCTCGTACCCAGTGAGTTTTGAGTTGCATGTTTGATTTTTGTTTACATTACTTCTTGTTTGTTTGTTTGTTTGTTTGTTTGCTTATTCGTTTCTTAATATTTGTTGGCAGATTGTCCATGATAGGTATCTATATGTTTGCTTTAGACAACGACAGCAGGGTAAAAAGGTCAAAGCTCTAAAAAGGGTGAGTAGCTGTTAAAGTGATACTTGACTTATCTTATACAGTATGTACTTTTTTTGTGTACTTTCATTGCATTCTCCCTTTATTTTTGTCTCATTGTTTTATTTTCTTGTTTATTAATTTATTAATTATTGTGCTGTATAAAAGATTTTTTAATATCTTAATAAAAATATAATATTAAGAATTTATTGGAGGGAAAGCTGATTAGGTAGGTTTATATATATATATATATATATCAGGGGCATAGATTACGCGGGGGACACTTTTAATATCATGTAAATTCGTCCCCCACACTTTTTCTGGCAAGTGTGTTCACACAGAGGTCAAAGAGACAGGATAGTCTGTGCATGATCTGATTCTATTTATTTGGAATTAAGCAACAATTCTATCTCCATAGATGAACATTGAGGAGCGCTAAACACTCAGTGCAGTGTATGTTTCATTCACACTCGAAGCCAGAGGCGCTCTCCGCAGAAAGTCGTACGAGGAAAATCCTAATGTGGACAAAAGCATCCAGCTATCGCTGTATGAAAACAGAAACGTTTGGAAACATGAAGACATTAAACATACGATTGCGACAATATGGTTTATTTGTGTTTGTCAAGTCATCTCCAGGTAATAAATAAAGTATATGAACAATGCAGTGCTAACTGAC